CTGCTGAGGTCAGGAGCTGTGGCTCAGCAGAGCACAGGGGCGTTAAGGTAGTTCCATGGCAAAGCTCATCATCTTATGCCTCAGGCTGCCCTGTTTGCTGGGCTGAGGTGGCTATTTCATTGTGCAAGCCTGTTCCTGTCAGCCTTGCAACCCTGAATAAGAGGGTCAGAGCACAGCTGCCATGGCACTGCCACTCTGCTTCCCAAACCTAAGCACATTATGCACAGGGATAGGGTGATTTTCCCCATATCCTGACCAGGCCCACCCCTTTTCCTTCCACACCTGTCTCTTCTCACCTCTCCAAAGTGGGCAGCAGGGTCTCTGGGGGTTTCCTAGCAGAGTGGGATATGGTCTGGCATCACAAATGCAAAAGGAGTTGCCCTTGTGACTCATGAGGTTTCTGAGCTGGTTTTGTCTGCGTATCTCTGACTCCTTTTTGGTGTTCTTCCATGTTCCTTCTCCCTAGCCCCAAACCAGTAGGTTTCCTTCCACCAGTGTGGAGAACCTTTGGAAAGCCTGGGATTTAGGAGACAGTTTGAGGCAGTGTCTGATAATCATCACAGTTTATGTGCTCACAAATGAGAACATGCCTGTGAGTTGACTTCTTGGCCCTGGAGCTTGGCCACTTACCTCTGAAAAGTCTTTAACTGTCATTCCTTATGATCAGATGCCTTGTTTAAAAAGGAATTTTGACAACTTAAGAGATTGCCAAATGTTGCAGTGAAGGCAGAGCTGCTCTTTTACAACTGAACATGTCAAACATCAGCATTGCTGACAATGCCATTCACATTTCTCATCTTCAGCTCGGAGCTGAAGCTTGCTGCAAGAGCAAGGCTGTGATCTATCCCAGTACCTCTTGTCTCCCACCACTGCTTTATTGTTGGGTTTTTAAAAATATCTTTCAAAGTCCACATTTTTGAAATTAACTTGCTAGAAAGGATGAGCTGCAATGCAATTTCACAGCAGCTTCAGGACCTCCCAAGATGCCCAAGGCTTTGCAATAATCAGCAGTAATTATTGAGCCACCACAACTTTGTTTGTCAAACTCTAAATAGGCTGTGATAGTTTATAAATGCACTGCACCTAGAATGTAGCTTATTATAAAAACAGCTTATTTTCCTGAAATTCTGCAACCTCTCTTGCATTGCAAGTGATGGAAAAACTGAAATCATAAATTTTTAGTGTAGTGAATTTGAGCTGTTTGACCAAATCCAGCAGGAAAAGAAATGTAAATGATATAAAGCAAAGTAAATCTGGATTTTTGTTGTTTTCATCATCTGTCATATTTTAGTAAAGTGGGTGCAGGCTGCTTCATTTTAAGCATAATTTATGTGCATATCTATGTGTATACAGTAAGTGCATGGCACATTCTGTAGTGTGTAACACTGCAGGCTGTTGCACAGGGAGGTGAAATGAGGACAGCCTCGCCTGCAGCTCGCTGGCAGTCCCTCTCTGAGGGGACTGGGCCACGTCCTTCCAGCCCTCTGCTGCTGGGCTGTTCCCTGTCTGGAGATGCTATTAGCTGTGCTGCTGTTTTCCCCCATCATTCCCCACTTTTCTCCTGTGGCCAAAGAGGAAGCAGCAGAAATGGTAGCTGAGCCTGAGAGAACCAATCCCTCCTTTTCTTTCTCTGGTTAAGTAGGCTGGAATGTCTTCTCTCTTTCTTTTTTCCATTTCTGGGAAAGCCATTAAAGCCTATCCCTCTGCTCTCCTCAGCTGTGTTTCTGATGATTCCGTGAAGCAGTACACGTCAAAGGACCATCTTGCCAAGCACTTCCAGGTTCCTGTGTTCAAGTTTGTGGGCAAAGACAACAAGGTAAGCTCAAAACTCAACTCTTAAATATTTCATCAGCTCTGATATAACTGAGGAACCTCAGCACCAAGTTGGAAAAGGGTATGGAATGGCTGACCCAAGGCAGGTGCAGCTCTGCCTGTTCAGCAGCTGCACCTTACAGGAGCCTGGCAAAGGTACTTCAGGAGAGATTGTTAAAAACAACTACAATTGAAATATGAAGGACAGTTTTGGAACATCAATGCCACAGCAGGCTAAAATCATTGCTGCTTCCAGGGTGGTCTTGGTGGACCTCTGTTTGCTCGGTGAGAGAAACGTTCTCAGTCACCAGGCACATGTCACAGTGCCTTGTCTTTAAAACAACACAGTTTTTAGTTTGGGATCTCTTCAGCCTTGTGTCTCTTGTGAGTACAGATGCCAGCACTCCAGACAGAAGGCCACCATACTGCTTAATTCAGTGTGAAACTAGGCTGTCTCTGTGGGGCAGCAGCTCTGTAGTGAGAAGACAGTGGAAGGATAATTTTAAGCCATTTTCCTAATGCAAATAGCTTTCCTTTCTGTGTTGGAGGAAAGTGAAACTAGGCTGTCTCTGTGGGGCAGCAGCTCTGTAGTGAGAAGACAGGTGGAGGGATAATTTTAAGCCATTTTTCTAATGCAAAGAGCTTTCCTTTCTGTGTTGGAGGAAGTTGGATCTTCCAGTCATTGTTATGCTCAGCCAACGCTGCCTGCTTCAAAACTTAAAAAGCTGCTGCTCCAGCTACTGGAGACCCCAGTAGGGTTAAAGCTGATGAGATCTTCTATGCAAATAGCTTTCCTTTCTGTGTTGGAGGAAATTGGATCTTCCAGTCATTGTTATGCTCAGCCAACACTGCCTGCTCCAAAACTTATAAAGCTGCTGCTCCAGCTACTGGAGAGCCCCAGTAAGGTTAAAGCTGATGAGATCTTCTGAAATTCAGAAGTTTTCCTTGGCTTTCTGATCATCCCTGCTGCCTCCAATCTGCATCCTCCCATCCTGCACAATGGATTCTGCTTCACACCTCTCCAAGTCTTTGTGGCTGCTGCTTGCAGGGATGTTGCTTCCTCTCTTGGTCATTTACAGGGCAGGGAGCAGCAGTCCTGTCACTGCCTGTGCTGTGCAAGGAGAAAAGGGAGTTGTCTCCTTGCTCTTTGCATTCTCCCTCTTCCCTCAACTTAGCCTCTCATCACCCTGTGTTCTCCTCTTTTTTCTCTTTGGTTTCCTGGCTTTGTTTTTCCAGCTCACTCGAAATTCTCTTGCACATCTCCATCAATCCTTGCGAGGCTTCACGCATTCTTGACACACAGCTCCTGCCAGTCCATGTGAACTCTTCCAAGCTGATTCCTGCCATTTTCATCCCTTCATGTGGAGGATCATTTCCCACCTTCTATTCCATGCCTCTGAGACCTCAGCCAGGCTTTCTGGAGAGGGCACACAAGCCAACAGACGGAGCGGCCGTTCTGGCCGCGGGCGGCGATGCTGGACACGGCCCTGTGCCACGGGCACGCTGTGGCACTGGCTCTGGCAGCGGTGCCAGTGGTGCCCAGGGCTGTGCACTGACCCTGCTGTGTGTCCCCACCTCAGGAGGTGTTCCTGCACTGCCGCATCCTGGTGTGCGGGGCGCTGGACGAGACCTCGCGCTGCGCCCAGGGCTGCCGCAGACGCGTGCGCAGGTCGGCCGAGCAGCGGGAGGAGCAGCAGGACAAGGAGTCTGCTCACGTGGCAAACCACCTCCTGACAGGAGGCCCCATCAGGATCGACTTCGATGACTGACACCCACCTCTGGAAGAGCATCCCTGGCCTTCCTTGTCACTGCCTTCTGTTGTGGTTGTTTGAGAAACCAGAGGTATTTGTTAGAGCCCCGCTTGAACCTCAGGACTCATTTCCTTAATTCTGTGGTGGTTATTTGTCAAGTGTTTTGGGCCCCTGAGGCAGCCCTTGGAGTGTGACCTGGACTGCAGACCAAGTTTTGGTTTTATCTGCATTTCTCCCCCAACAACCCTTTAGCTGAAGGGACCCTGTTTCTTTGTAGGCCGGAAGTGTTAGCCAACTTTGCCTTTCCCTACATCCACCTACAGGCCCCAGGACTGTTTGTCCTTGACTAAACAAATGTTATCCAAGCCCTTCTTGCATCAGACAGTACAAATAGTATCATAGCTGAGTGTTTGCTGTGCAGCTCTGTGAGTGATGCTGGAGATTTCGGGTGACTGTTAATAAAAACATGTATAAAATATATCTCATCATGTGTAAGTTCCTTGAAGCAATGCAATTGTCATTACAGGCAGCTAAAGCTTAGATCTATCACAGGCACATTCAAATGGGATTTTAAATAGCAAAAGGTATTTAATGAGATTTGAGTTTTTTAGTGGCTTTTGATAACTGTGTGAAGTTTAATAGTGTTTCCTCCTGTATTTAGTGCATCATTATTCTTCTCCCTCTTCTCCCACCACCAAAACTGCCTTTCCTAAGTGCTATTATAGCACCTTGATTGTAAGAGAGCCACCATTAAACATCTATAAACACCCCCTCCCATGTGTGCTGCTGCCAAGTGTTTGTCTGGAAGCTGTGATGCATTGCACTGATTAGCGAGGCCGTGGTTCCAGCAGAGGATTGGAGGAATGCACATTAATTGTTTATAGCAGTTATTGGTGATGTGGGCAGTTCTCAGGACAGGCTGTCCCCAGTGAGCCTGGTGACAGGAGACACGGCAGCGCTGTCTGAGTGGCTGTGGCAGGGGACACAATTACTGGTGATGGTGGTGGCATCGTGGTTGTCAGGAATCTTTTTGGGCTGTCAAGCTCCTTCTGAAGAAATTATAATGGATTTTATCAGCTCAGGCTCCTCTGGGCTTCATTGAGCTGTGTGTTAAAGGATTAGGGTGTGGGGAAGGGAGGAAGGACAGCCAGCAGTGAAGGACACTGTGGGACAGGCAGGGCTGGAGGATGAGGAGAAGGATCCATCTCCACTGCAGTTCCCAAGGTTTTCTACAAGAAGCTCCTCAGTGTGCAGCTCTGTCCTGCGAGCTCGGAGGTCTGCTGGAAGCCCCCCAACCTTCATCACCTGTGTCCTGCTTTGCTTGGAGCAGCCAAATTACTGCAAAAGCCAAAATTTGCTGCTGCTCTCAAATAGAAAGGGAAATCCATTTGAAGGGACCATTTAGAAGGGAGTCACAAGTCACCTCAAACATTTGAGTCTATTTCACAGATTTATTTGTTCTGGCAAGTGATATTCCAGTGAGGAATGAACTTTTAATGGCTGAGAGTTTAATAATTTGTTCTAATAGCTTCATGGCTGCTTTTTCAATCTTGGAAATACATATGTGTGTGTGTGTTAGAGAAAACAAAAATATTTCTGTGATGATAAGTAAGTATAAATGGAAAGATACTTTCACTTTTCCTGTGTTATCCAACCATATATGAAAGAAAAAGAAAGGAAAAAGGCTTCTCCTAGGATTGCTGTTCTGCTGATACACATCTGCATTAGGACCACAGGGGCAGTTTCCCACTGTCACTTCTTTGTTCAGACAGCCTCCACTAAATATATTTGTTTTGATAAAACAAGAGCTGGGAAATGAAATTAATTATCTGGTGCCTTCTGGAGAATCAACTGGTCTTGTTTGTTTATACAGAAGGGATGGGGGGGAGTGATGGAGGCAGAAGCTCCTTTCCTGGCTTAGTTCAGTTATTGTGCACATTATTTCGTTTTTCCTGATGAATTCATGTGAAGCAGCTTTTCCACTCTGCAGCTGAAAACAATCCTGCCAATGCACAAAGTCCAGAGGAAGCCACGGGATGAGCAAAGCCGTGTCTTTGTGTCCAGAGCAGGGTGGAATTGAAGATGACCCAAGGTTCATGCAGCAACCTGGAGAATCCTGTGATAGCTGCTTCCATGGCTGTTCATCACTGGACAGCAGGAGTGGCACGGAGGGGAAGCAGTTTTTAGTTTGGTTGCAGTTTTACTGGGTTCATGCATTGGTTTGCTCCTGCACAGGATTATCTGGTGCTTTGCCAGAGTCACTGCCACCACTTGAAAGTTCAAGTATTTCCTCATAGAGCTGCTGGTGGGATTTTTCAGATTAGCACAGTGAAAAATGAACTTATTCAGTAGCTGGCCTGCTTGCAGCAGTCTCTAGGGTTTTGGGATGAATGGTGGTCTGAAAGCAGGGAGAAAGGATGATTTATGTTAGCGATGTCTCCAGCACATCAGTGGCTGGGAACAGAGACTTTGTTCAGAACCCTTTGATTTCTCCAGTGTATGGCATCACCTGCCAGCAGTTGCTTGGCTTTAATCTGCTATCACTTGAACTATAAGATAATTGATATATTTGCCATGCAGTCGGCGATTGAACATAGACAATAGAGCTATTTTAACTTCTTTTTTGTCATTTAATCATAGGAGTAGGTTCACATTTAAACTGGCCACAGGCACGGTTTCACCAACAAAATATAAAGTTTGGGCAGTGTTCTGGAATGAGGAATGTTTCCTTCCCATCCCTATCCAAAAGTAGGTGTTTCCTAGCTGGATAATCAAGGTTGTCTGTCCAGCCTCATGCTCTGACAGAGCAGCAAACCTCGGCAGTGCAGAATTCCCTGTCCAGTGGCATGAGCCCAGCTAGGAAAGGCTGTCATTACATCTGAGCAGTGTTGAAGTCCTCTGTGATGGAAAACATCCCAGTACACCTCACGCAGTCACGTCCATTTTCCTGGTCTGGGTGCCAGGGGGCTCTTGTTGTTCCAGCCCGCTTGGGGCCAGCTGAACATCTCATTGCTGTTCACTGTAAGGCAAAGATGACTGGCAGGAACAGGAATACAGGGCTTAAATAATTTATAGCTCCATGCATACATTTTAAACCCATTTAAACTGGAAGAAAAGCAACCAAGACAGACTCTTTCCACTCTTGTTAAATCACCCTTTTGCAGCCTTAACTTCTCTGTGGCAGATGGAAGAACATAACCATAAATATGTTTGCAGGAGCCGTTGAAATATTTACGTGGCATGGCACGCACACACCCAGCAGCAACATCCTTCCAACAAGAAACCCAGCTCAAAGCTGCCTGCCAATGTTCTGTGGAGGCAAAATGCCATGCACAACTTTAAATTCTGGTTTTGCATGCAACAAAAGCTCCCCATAACAGATGGGAGTATTAACCACATTTTAGAAGCAATGATGTCTGAGGCTGCTGATAGCAGCCCCACAGAGGTAGCACATAAATCCTGTCACCTGACAGATAAGGCTCCAGAATTTGGAATATCTCATCCAAGGCCACTGTGAGCCTCCTGTTTCGCTTGTGCAAGAGATGGAGGTGGATATCCAGCCATTTTGTGTGAAAAGGGATCCTGAGGGCAAAGCTTTGTTAAATGCTATAGGAGAAAAGTAATTAAATAGATGTGGATGACGCTGGCAAAGAAAAGTGGCTTCCTCTCCTGAGAGTGGGGGAAGAGGGCTGTGATTTCACATCTGATTAATGGTGGGCTTTGGTCCTGAATATCAATGCTGTACCACAAACACCTCAAGCCCTTCTCTTTAACTCATGCTTAAGATTTCTCCAGATGTCCTAAATCAGGTCCACCAAGTATTTAAATATGCAGGGTTGTCAGGGTGTGTAATGACAGGATGGAAAGTGTCAGGTGTGGGTGTGAGCAATGTACTGAAAGCAAATTACCCCTCTTCAGTCTGTCACCAGCGGTGCAAAAACGTACATAGCATATCCATGGACTGGGAATTTCACAGGGCTTGCAGAAACCTACTGCCTTGCACTGCAAATTAGAGAGTTACAGGGTGGGGGGAGGCAATAGTGTGTATTTAAGGTAAGTTCCATGTTTATAAGCAGCATTGCATCCTGCTTGCTTTGGAGAGAACTGGCTTGGGATCCTGTGGGCTTGGGAAGGGGCGCTGTGGAGCTGCATCTGCAGCAGGCAGCAGGCACGGCTGCCCTGTGTCCATGGGCTGGCTCTGCCTGCCCTGCCCTGCCCAGCCTCGAGGCTGCCATGGATGTGTGCCTTGGCCCAGGTGCCCATCCCAGGGGCTGACAGGAGTCACTGTGCTGCAGAGGGGCGCTGGCAGCAGCCCAGGTGCCCATCCCAGGGGCTGGCAGGAGTCACTGTGCTGCAGAGGGTCCATCGCAGGGGCTGCCAGGAGTCTCTGTGCTGCAGAGGGGTGCTGGCAGCAGCCCTGGTGCCCATCCCAGGGGCTGACAGGAGTCTCTGTGCTGCATAGGAGCGCTGGCAGTGGCTCACAGACACCGGGTGGCTGCTCCTCCTCACAGCTCGTCGCGCTCCTCCTCGCTGCAAATGCAGGCGCTCCGCTGGCTGTTCATGAAGGGCCGGCAGCCCAGGGTCCAGACAGCGTTGAACACTGTGTCTGCCATGGATTCACAGGCTGTGGAGAAGGACACGGTGGCCAGGTAAGGACAGGCAACCCCGAGCAGCCCAGCCCCAGCCCTGCACTCAGCTCTGTGGGGTTTGCCATTGGAAGCGTGGGCTGTCGTCTTTTCTCTCTGAGAACTGCATTTTTATAAAGCCCGAGGCTCCCTTCTCTCTTCTTATCGATGCAGGGTAACTCCAATGTAGGGAATAATGTATAGAGAATAAAATAGGGGAAAAAATAGGGAATTTCTAACTCCATGATTTAGAAAGCTGAACAATTGCTTTATTAAGCTGTACTATATTACACTAATAGTATACTAAAACTATATTAAAGAAATACTATACTACAAAGATACTAAAGAAAAACCTGTGACTATCTCCAGACAGTCACAACACACGTAGATCCAATTGGTCAAAGAATCAAAACAACCTTCACCAGTGCCTAATTAACAAATCACTTCAGGTAAACAATCTCCATAACACATTCCACATGTGCAAAACAACAAGAGCAGTGAATAGAGATAAGAATTGTTTTCTCTTCTTCTCTTTGTGCTTCTCACTGCCTTGCCCAGGAAAAATCCTTGGGAAAAATTGTACCTGCTGCTCTTTGTGAAGAGAGCTGTGGCCACATCTTCTCCTCAGGGTGGCACTAAATCTCTCTCCCCCCTAAACTCCTTTCTTGCCTCTTGGAGGCCCTACTGGTTGATGGATCATCTGGGGCTCTGCAAACAGCACTGTTTACCAAACAGATTTCCCAGGAGGCCTCCACATTACTCCTTCTCCTCTCAATTCTGCCTATAGCCACTATTACCCACCCTTTCTGGGCTTTTGTGGGAGTTGTGATGCCAGCTGCCAGCCAGCATGAAAAACCCTACAGCAGCTGGAGCAGCTGACTGCCTGACTACTGGTCCCTCCTCACCTCAAAAAACAACCCTGAAAGTGCTTGTCAGTAAACAAATAGGTTAATAGTAAATCTTTAGGGTTATTTACTGGCACTAACACTGATTGCTAAGCATAATGAAGTTGGGAAAGCCTTGCCTTTGGGACTGTTTTCTTCTATCTCAGCCTGTCCAAACACCTCAGAGCTCCTGTTCCCTTAGGAGGCTGCTCAGCTGGCAGGCACTGGAGAGGCTGTGGTGAGTCAGTGGGAAAACCAAGGCTTTGGATGCCAGATGAGAGCTGGGGTGGCTGTGGAGGAGGACTGTGACAGGAGGTGCTCAGAGCAGCCCTGGAGACAGGATCTGTAGAGCCCAAGGTGAGGGGAGGATGGCTCAGAGGTTCATTGGTGTTACCTGTGCCTCCTACAGCAGCCAGGACAGAGATGCTGGAGGAATCTACTCCTGCCTGGCAAAGGTGGCTTGGCTCAGCCCAGGAGTGTGGGCTCTGCTCCACCTTAACTGCCTAGGATCTGGGTTTGCTTTGCTGCTGCAAGCAGAGAGCAAGAAGGAAGCATATGAAAAAGTGGAAAATCTGAAGAGATGGGAAGAAGTTGGCTGCATGAGGAGTTGTTGATAAGGGTGACCATGAAAGACTGGCTGTGCTCAGCCTGTAGCATGTTTGTCTCAGTCCATGTCTTTGATTTCTCTTGCTGGCCTGGGCAGATTCATTTATCTGTGACCAGGTAGGAAGCCATCTGCAGACATCTACTGGTGTCATGCAGACTTCCCATGTGTCCTGATCAGGCTGCACCTTTGGTAAACAAATGCATACTTAAGGATACCTTAGAGCAGGACATCAGCAGAGGTTACCGAAAAAGCTCTTCTCAGACTTGCAGGCTGAGGCTTTTTAAATTAGGCAAAACCAGGGTGGCACTTGAGCTCCTGGCATATCGCTAGAACTTGCTAGCACTTCTGAGCTATCCAGAGCTGCCTGCAGTGGCTCAGCCACCACCCAGCCTGGTGTGTCCCTGGTGCCATCATCATCTCTTATCTGTGACCAAATCCCTGAGAGCTCTGTCCTTGGCTCTCTCTGTTTTGCTGGCCCCTGGCCACGTACAGGTTTCAGTGTGTGCTTCACTGGCCCTGGAAGGCATGCTGGTATCCCATGAAGGTGTTTGAACTGTCTGGGAGTGCCTCCAAGTTTTGAAGGAATTATTTCCAGGGTTGTTTGTGGTTTTTTTCACACATTGTAATGTTTTCTAAATGTAAATAACCGTAGATCTCCAGCCTTGGGGACAGAGGTGTGTGACAGAGGGGGCAGATCTCTTGTGTTCCCACCCACCTGTGACAAGTGCAGGACAGAGATGCTGCAGAGTTTTGCTTCTTTTTGGCAAGGAAGGGGCTCCCTGCACAGGGGGTGTGAGGCAGGATCCTACCTTGCACCTTGGAGACGAAGCCCAGGCTGCGCTTGAGGTCGGAGCAGATGGAGTGGAGGCACCAGCGGAACTTGGCGTCGCAGCGGTACTTGTTGGCCCCACAGGTGTCATAGCAAATGTCCAGCTGGTTACAGCACTTGGTCATGGCAGGGATGCCCAGGTCTAGCTGGGGAAAGAGAAAAGAGGTGTCCCTTGGCTGGGTCCTGGCCTCAGCTCACACAGCTGTGACCAGGTGAGGTGCTGCCGAGCCCAGCTGGCTCCTCTTCCAGAAGCTATTCCTGAGAGCCAGGCAGCAGGAGGAATGTAAAGAAGGGTGAGGGAGCAGCCCAGTGGTGTCAGTGGTGCAGGCTCAGTGTGGGCTACATCACATTCTCTTTTCCTCTCTGTGTCCCAGGGAATCAACGTCTGGCAGAGAGGTGGGAAACAGCCCCTTCGTGACCATTTTCTAGTTCTCATTTGTCAGAGAGCTCCATGTCCTTGCCACCAGTGGCAAAGGCCTCTTCTCTCTTTTCCTCTTTTTCCCACAACCTGACAAGGTCTTGCTTTTTGGCCTAATAAACATGTCACAAGTATTTTAACGTCTTATTTCTCAGAGATATATTTGAGGCCAAGGACCAGCACAGCATGGTCAGGGGAGTTCTGCTCTCTGTAAGCTTAGCTGGGGGTGATGGGGCAGAAGACCTGTCTCCTGGAGAGACTGGACTTGTTAGCTTCTTATGAATTATTCATCTTTTTGCCCTTCCTCATGTAAAATTTAGGAGATGAATTGTTCCTTCATCGCACTTGTGATTGCCTGGGTACAGAAATGGTACCACAGAAATGCCCACAAGGTTTTCAGTGAAATAGAGTTTCAGGAATTAAACCCAACATGGAAAAATGGGCTGCAGAGAGAGGGGTTGTCAGAGCAGGAATCTGCCTAATTGCTGCAGACTCCATGGGCAGCAATAATGCATGAGCTAAATAGGAATCCCTGCTCTGAGAGCCTCCTGGGAAGGCTTTTCCTGTGATTCCAATATGTTCATTAATTGCCTTTAAGATAACGAGCAGGTTCAGTATTAAAGCCTCTCATTCAGTGCTTTGCAGAGGCAAAAAATGTGGGAAGAGGTGGAGGGGCAGGTGTGGAGGATGCACTCAGGAGTTGCTGTGTGCACATGGGTTATTGTCACCGAGCTGCCCAGCACAGCCCATCCCATCCTTTTCCTTGCTCAGAATGATGAGCTGGTGATGTGATGGAGAGCTGCATCCTGTGGGATTGGTGAGTGGGACAGTGCATACAATTTCAGGTACCTTGAGCCCCAGAAAATGGGAGCTACAGCCGTTGGGTTCTTGGGGTTTGTAGTGAGGCCGTGGCATGGGAGCCTTCCCTGGGAAAGAAAAGACAGGATAAATGTTAGGAAATCTTGTTCTTCCCAAGACTGGGTCCAAAAAGCAAGGCTCCATTTTGGTCTCCATCCCCAAACACTACTTGCTAGCTCAGCAAGGGGGTTTATTTCTATCCTCAGTTCATTCTTGGACTGTTGGTGTGCTGTGGATGTCCCCCAGACTGCACCAGACCTTGCATGTCTGATCTTGCTCTGAGCAGGTCTTCTCGGTCCATTTTCTGCCCATGGTGATGCACTGCCACGTTTTGCAAAATTATTTATATTTCTTTAATCTCTGCACCTTCCTCAGCCTGCTTCTTAATATGCATAAAGGAGCAAGAACTCCCTCTGTGAATAATTATTTACCCAATGCAGGAGGAGTCCAGCTCACAGCCAGCTCTAGCAGTACCTTCCAGCAGCATTTAATCTGATTTTTATAGGGGAACCTGTTCAGTGCTCGACCACCCTCTGGGGGAAGAACCTTTTCCTGATATCCAACCTAACCCTGCTTCAACACAGCTCCAGCCATTCCCTGGGTCCTGTCCCTGCTCTGGGAAAACATAAACTGTGGGAATGCTCCAACAAAAACTCATGTGAGCTGGGCCTTCTGAAGCCTGTCACATCAAGGGTTAAGTTTCTGCTTCCCTGAGCAAGGCTAGAGAATTTATATAGACATAAAATGGATCTAATTCAGCCCTTCAAGGCAGGGTTGGGTTCTTTTAAACTCCATTTCCACTTCTTGCTTCTTGTCAGCACGAGGAATTATTTAAGACACTTTTCCCATTTTTCTGTTCAGGTACCTAAAATGCCAGTGGTTAATTCAACCATAAATCTGCTGTGCCCTTGGGAAGGCCTTGCAGCCAGAAGCCTCAGAGGGACTTACGTAGGAGTGCTCCCAGCACCTCTCAATTAAACTTTGCCAGAGCTGTTTTGCTTAAATAACAGATTTGCTACAAATAAATAACAAACTGAAATGCTGTCCAGCTGTGAGATGCCAACAGGCAATCTTCCCCTTCCAAAAGAGCCTTGATGGTTTTTTGGAAGGGAGTGGGAGCTGGGACTCAGAATTCAGATGTTCCTGAACTGATGCAGGAGGCAGAGGAAAGTTCAAAATCCGCTGTGGGTTTTGCAGGATGGAGTCAAATTTGAGTGACTTGCTTGTAATACTGGTTGTAAAAATTCTGTTCCTGCAGCACACTGGCAATGAATGGGATAAGATGGCAAGTCTGAGTGAGATTTTTGGGGATGTGGAGATCATAGCATCATAGAATGGCTTGGGTTGGATGGGACCTTTAAGATAATCCAGTTATCCAGTTCTACCTGCATTATCCAGTTCCCAGCCAAAAATAGCTGTGTTTCCAGATCTTTAATTCAGCTGAAGCCACAGCTATTATAATATTCTAGAAAGCTGTCCTGAGGAAAAAAAACCTCACATAAATAAGGATTGTGCTGATCCACAAAACATCAAACAGGATAAGCCCTCATAGGAAACCTGTCCCCTCCCCTCTGCAAAACAGAGCTTTAAAACTTATAAAGTGCCCCTTTGTACTCTTTCTCAGCTAGGTCAAGTGCAAGGCACCACAATTAACCTCTCTTCCACATCTTGTTTTGTAGGTAACAGGAAAGCAAAACCAAAACAGGAATATCAGGCCTTCCTGCCTCTCTACAAGCATTGACTCAGTGCTCCTGTTATCATTTATTGCTTGCCCATCCTCACAGACAAGAAGATAGATTTCAGGCCACTGCCTTGTTGCCACAGCCCTAGAACTGAAGTTGAGTTTCCCTGATGCATTTTAATTCCCCCAGGCTGTTGTAGCTGTTCCAAGAGGCTGGAAAGCAGCCAGCTGGCTGGAGCAGCTGCTGGCAGTGCAGGAGGTCTCAGGCACTGCAGTGCTGGGACACTGGCAGGGGGAGTGAGTGTATTTTTGGGTGAAGGGATGGTCTAAAGGCTTCTTGCACTTTTGGGTGGTCCATTGTTGTTTGTGTGCCCCAGGCAGGCAGGCTTTGAGCAGAGGTGCCTGCACACACCCAGCTTTGTGTGCCCTGTTGGAGAGAGCCTGGCTTTGAAGGCTCTTCTCCCACAGCCTGGAGGTGCCCCCTCATCTTAAGCCCTGCAGGACCAAATGCTGAGCAGAGCAGTGAAGTCTTGCCTGGCCAGGAGGAAGCTGCAAGGGCTTCACTCCCAGCTCAGGCTGTTTGTTTCCCTGAGATGCCCAGTGAGACTTTGTAAGCAGGAGTATATTTGCCAGTAAATGCTAGTGTAACCCTAATGTCCTGATTTAAGGGACTCATCCATCAAGTTGGCTGTTTTCAGACCTCAGTAGCTGCTGAAAAATCAGGAGAGTCTTACAGCTGGAACAGCACGTGCTCAGCTGAAGATGGATGTGGCAATCACAGGTGAGTCCTGACCTTTACTGTGACAAAATAAGCTATTATTGGTATCTATTGGCTGAAATGAAAGTAAGTAGAAGGAATAATTTTTGTTTCATGCCTGGGGAGAAAAAGCAACCAGGCTCTGATTCAGCACAAAGATGGTTTGTGTTCATCCTTCTGAGCAAGGACTGGATCTCACTGGTTTGGGACCATCCTGGCATCCTCTCCTCTCACAGTTTGCAATGTCTGTGTCAGAGATTAGCAAGGACAAATGGTGCTGGAAGGGTCCAGCAAGCCCCTTGGAGCCACGTGGGCAGCATTTCAGTAGTGTCCTCCTTCAGGCAGTGATTAATGAGCTGTTCAGCAGAGGATGAGAACTGGGCTAGCGATGGGCTTGTTTTCCTTTCTAGGTAAAACACTGTTCCTGTAAGCTCCTGGGATGTGAGCAGGGATTTGTGCTGCTCTCTGGAGATGCTTTTCACAAGGACAGGCAGGGAGAGCCCTCTGGATGTGTCCAAAAGCAGTAACTCCTGCATGGTGTGGTGAGTCCTGAGGCTCCCTGAAACCTGCTCTGAGTACCAGCATTGCCTCAGGCACACTGCAGTCCCAGCTTCCCAGTTTCCCACTGCCAGGGGTTTCAGTCTCTACATTAAGGAGGGCAAGTCCCAGGAGGTCTATGGGAACTATACAGACTGAGACAGAGTCAGTGGGGTCTCCCCAAAGCATTGAGTCTGTCCATGAAAAACAATGCTCTGGGGAGGAGAGGGGTTGAAATCCCTCTGTGCTCACAAGCATCTTTCCCAGGTGGTCACTAGGGGTGTGGGGTGAAGCTGTGGCTGGGCAGGCTGAGGTGACAGGACAAGATGTTGCTGTGGGACAGTTGTAGGAGGCTGAGGAGAGGATACAATCTGTGGGAAAACTCCTGGGGGGTTCCTAAGCAGGTTGTTCCCACAGGTACCCTGGTGAGGGCCAGTGCTGCCTGTGGCACTGTCACCCCACAGACTGTGCACCTCGTCTCCTGCCCTGCCCCCCCTGAGATGTCACCCCCTTCATCCTGCCCCCAGGAGAAGCCAAACTAACCCTTTTTGGTAAACCACCAAAAAGTGAAGTCCAAAGCAAGCAGGAGCTGCCTCCTTCTGCATTGAGCACTAAAGGTTCCTCCTGGTGACGTGTGGTTTGTCCCGCTGTTATCTCTCCTCCTGCAGCCCTCGGCAGTGGCCAGCTCACAGCTGCTGGATAAGGACACTCCGAAGGTTGCTGAGATTAGGGAAGCTGGCTCAGCGTCCCTTCCTTGTGCTGTGCCAGGCAGCAGGCAGCCCGGGTACTGTGTGCCCTCACAGCCCGGTACCGTGTGCCCTCACAGCCGGGTGCTGTGTGCCCTCACAGCCGGGTACTGTGTGCCCTCACAGCCCCAGGTACTGTGTGCCCTCACACCTTGCTGAGATTAGGGAAGCTGGCTCAGCGTCCCTTCCCTGTGCTGTGCCAGGCAACAGGCAGCCCGGGTACTGTATGCCCTCACAGCCAGGTACTGTGTGCCCCCCCAGCCGGGTACTGTGTGCCCTCACAGCCAGGTACTGTGTGCCCTCACAGCCCAGTACTGTGTGCCCTCCCAGACCGGGTGCTGTGTGCCCTCACAGCCGGGTACTGAGTGTCCTGGCAGAGAAGGCTGCATCCATCCTCCCCTGCTGTCCTGTGTGCTCTCCTTGGAGAGCTGGCTGCTCGTGGGGAAGGGGGATCAGTGTCCCTGTGCTGGCGCTGGCACAGGAGTTGTGACCCTCGGCACTGCCGGGGGCAGCTCCTGGGTAGGAGGAGCTGCTCGTGGCCGCAGGGAGGGAGAGGGAAAGAGGGGAAAGGGCGAGGAGAGAGGAGTGAGGTTCACTTACCATATCGACAGCGGTACTGACAGACTCCATTTTTCCCCCCAAGCAGTTCCAAGAAGGAGTCGAAGTAGCTGTTCACCGTCTCGAAGCCATCCCGGATGGTGTCGATGCCCCAGTCGGAGTAGGATGACACTGCCTGGGGGTCCTGCTGGCCGGGGCTGCCGGGCGCTGCCTCCTCGGAGCCGTGCCCCAGGCGCAGGGCGAGGCACAGGAGCGCTGCCCGCAGCAGCAGCCGCATGCTGCAGGCCGAGCCCGCGCCGGGCAGGCCCAGGGCAGCGGCGGCGGCGGGGATGAGCTGCTCGGGCAGGAGGCAGTGGCACCGCTCTGCCTGGACTTTAAACGCTGCCCGGGGAGCCGGCGTGAGGTCACGGCAGCCGGGAGCAAAGTGCAGCGCCGAGATAGGGAGCGAGTTCAGCTCCCGGAGCTGGGAGTTTGCACAATCCCGCTGGGACAGCTCGGTCCCCATGGCTGCAGCTCCCCAGGAGGGACCCCTCCCTCACCCCAGGGCACTGCACTCCCTCCCCAGCCCACTGGGACATGAAGAGTATTTCTCTGTCCAACATTTCTGCTGCTCAGGCAGGCTGAGGAGCACCCCTTGCCTTTTCCCCAGGCCTCCTGGGCACAGGGAGGGGTGGGATGAGAGCTTCACCCAGCCTGCCTGCTGGCTGTATTGCTCCTAGCAAATCCCAAGGGCCCACGGAGCCTCAGAGAGGTTGATCCAGCAGCTTGGAGAAGTTTGGGACAAGCACTACATTCAGGGCAATTCCTTGGCATCACCTCCAGTTCCAGGATCAGTGTGGTAAGTGAGTACTGCCTTTGATGTGGCTGATGTTATAGGGCTGCTTGTTACAGCTCCTGTGCAATGTAAATTAAACGTGCAGCACAGGTGACCCAGGAGGAAAGGCTGGCGCTGAGACCTGAGCCAGGGTTGTGGGGCAGCTGCAGCTCCTGGCTCTGGATGGGACAGGCCTGCCTGGACCCAGGGGCCTGCTCAGCTGGTGGAGGGTTCAAAATTGCTCATTAAAAAGAGAGCAACCAAATTAACACCAACAGCAAAAGATAGAGCGAACCACTCACAAAGAATAGAGAAGGGAAATGGTGTGGGAAGGTTCTGGCTGCTTTTAGAAAGCTTTTCACATGTGCCCCAGCACAGCACTGCCTCTCAGGAGGAGCTGGGCTGCAGGCATTTCAAATCTGTGCCAAACACAAATGCAAATTGTGGCATTTTATTGTTTTGCAGGAGGTTTAGCCCTGTTGCATTGCTGCTTCTGAAGGGCCAGAGCTCCGTGGCGTTGTCTGTGTCTCTGCACATGGCCCTGGGTGATGAGCTCCAGACATGGGATAAGGAGGAGGAACCACAGCCAAGTCTTAGACAGGTAAGTCAGAGACAGGTTTTCTTAGACAGCTAAGTCAGAGAAGGGGGGAACAAAGAAGCTTGTTGGTGCCTCTCCTGTGCAATGGTGTGGAGCCAGAGGCAGCTGCTGCCTGCTTGTTCCATCTGTTCTGAGGCCCATGACTGCCAGGGCTGACTTTTTGGGTGAGGGGACATTTAGGTGTGCAGGAGCTCCAAGGGGAACCTCAAACCAGCTTTGCCTTTGGGGAGATAAACCCAGATGCAGAGAACACTGGGAAATCCCTGCCTCGAGTAAGCCTTTTGTGACATCTGTCACCCTGGCACGTGGCAGAGGGGGTGCTGGGAAAGTGAGGACTTCCCTGCAGGAGCACTGGAGAGCTCGGTCCTCTCCTGCTGTTCAGACCATGCTGGGGACTGCTCTGTCAGTCATGGGTGGAAATGGTCCCTGGAATTTGTTGTCAGTGCCCCAGTGCAGGGCAAACTGCATTCAAGAGTCCCACGCTGTGTCTTGCAGTGAGAGGAGCCTTTGGTGTCTCTGCTGGTTCAGTCCCTGCCCTGCCTGACACTCCAGATCATAGTCCCAGTGTTCCCAGACTTTGCCAACAGCCTGGCAGAAATTAATGTAAAAAAGAGCAAACCAGCTATTGGGGACTAGCTTGGAAATGTGTAAGAGCCTCTGGGTGTCTGTGCGTGGTGTCCTGCTTTTATGTAGAGCCTTTTAGGGTTGTTCTGGAGGCAATTCCAGAACACAGCTTTCTTTGTCATCCCTCAGTCCCTGCTGACTGATCCATGTGCTGCTGAAGGCAAAGAGAGAGGGGGAAAATGCTGGCAGGACTGCAGAGGAGGCAAACCACAGGGAATGTGGCATGAGCAGGGCATGCAGCCTGGAGCTGGTGGCTCTGCAGCACCCAGGCTGTTTGCAAAATCAATTGGAATTGGGAAAGCCAAACAGGGCGGGGAGGGAGCAGCTGGCAGAGGGCAGAGCCTGAATGAAGAGGAGTCAGAAACTTTCCCGTTAGTTTGTCACTGATCCCGAAGCAAAGGTTGGTGAGTAAAAAGCAGTTTACTGCTTTTCCAAAACGTGGCAGTCCCTTTGCCCTGCCCCGGGGATGAGCCACTCTCCTTCCTTCCTTCCTTCTGCTTCCTTCCTTCCCTCCCCGAGCCAGTCTCCTGAGAGCTTTTCAGTCCAGCTGCAAATATCTCGGTTGCACCCAGACTGCAAGATCTGAAGAGCAGAAAAAATGTAGGATTGGGTAAAAGTGACCTCCAGCTTTCCCTTGAGGAGTGGCTCAGCAGCTGCAGCAGTGAGGAGCCGTGGATGTGCACAGTGGGACCACGCAGGTTCTCTGGCCTGGCTTTGACCCGCTGCAGTTACAAAACCCCCTTCCCTGCGCCAGCTTTTCTCTCTGAAGATTTAAAGGGTGCAGATGCTTTTTGCCGCGGTGGTGAACTCTGACAATTGCTTCCTGAGCCTGGTGCTGACCTCGGGATAGGCAGCTCCTGAGTGCGTGCATTCATTCCTGCCTCCGTAATGCTTAAATATAGAGCGGCGGTGAGTCACGCGTTCCCGGGACACTGTCAGGCTCCTGGCAGCGCTCCTGGGCTGGGAGGAGAGGGGACTACACCCGTCCTGTCCCCGCGCCTGTGGCAATGAGCCCCATCCCAGGTGGAGCTGGAAAAGCCCTCTTGGCTCCGCATCAGGAGCCGAGCTGCAGCTCCTGTGCTGCATTCCTCCTTCCCAGCACGTCGTGGCTGTGCCAGGAGCCTGCCCGTGCCACTCTGCTGGGGAGGCGTGGGATAGAGGCACCGAGCTCCTTTTCCATCGGCTTTGGCTGGCTCAGGGAGCTGCTGGTGGATGTTCAGCCGGCGGAAGAGGCAGCTGGTGGCTCAGGTTAGTGGGTGATCCGTGGCTGCTCCCAAGCCTGCATTGGGAGCCAGCTGAGTCACTGATTATGGGGAGGAGAGAGAGCTGCGGGGCAATGGTGAAATCCCCGAGCCAGGTCAGAGTCCGGCAGCCGGGAGAGGCTGGGTGGGGTGGTTAAAGACCCCCCTCCAAAGGGGGCCGAGCTCAAGTGTGTGGGCAGGTCCAGTCCCTCTGGGAGTCCCTGGGCAGGTCCCTTGTGCCGCCTTCCCCCAGCTGTAGGAGAGGGTTCTGCCCCTGTGCTCAGCTGAGACCCCACCTGCAGAGCTGCCCCAGCCCTGGGCCCAGCACAGGAGGGACCTGGAGCTGCTGGAGAGAGCCCAGGGAGGCACCAGGATGAGCAGAGGGATGGAGCAGCTCTGCTGGAGGAAAGGCTGGGACAGCTGGGGGAGTTCAGCTGGAAGAGAAAACTGTGGAGATCTCAGCGCCCCTTCCAGTGCCTAAAGGAACTCCAGGAGAGCTGGAGAGGGGCTGGAGTGACAGGACAAGGGAGAAAGGCATCACACTGACAGAGGGCAGGGATAGATGGGGATATTGGGAAGAACTTTTAGGTTGTGAGGGTGCAGAGGCCCTGAGGATGCTGCCCAGTAGAGCTGTGGCTGCCCCTGGATCCCTGGAAGTGTCCAAGGCCAGATTGGACAAGGCCTGGCATAGTGGAAGGCATCCCTCCCCTGGCAGGGGATGGAAGTAGATGAGTTTTAAGTGCCTTTCAACACAAACCAGTCTGGGATTCTATGATCCTGTCAGACCCTTTCCTTTCTCTTAATCTTATCCTACCCTGTGACATTCACAGGCATTTCTCCTTACCCTGCCTTTTCAGCTGCAGCTGCTGTGATCCCTACCCTTGCTGGCTTCCTCCCATGCTGGTGACCCCCATGGTCACCCTTCAGCTGCAGCTGTGCCAGAAGAGCCCCAGGAACCCAGGTAGGATGGTGGGAAGTCACTGCTTGGGGTGGGACAGGGCTGATCCAGAGCTCTTCCCTTTCTCCCAGGCCCATCTTGGCAGGGACAGGGGCAGGGAACCCCTTCACCTTTCCTGGGGAGGGAACCCCTTCACCTTTTCAAAATCAAACAGTGCTGGTGCTCCTCAGGCTTATATCAAACATGTGCTCACATCAGCTGTGTTGGGGCAGTGCCCTCCCTGCAGAGGAGGGGAGATGGGCTGTGGGTGTTCCCAGCCAGCTCCATTCCACAGGCAGAAGGATCCAGGCCCCTTAACAGCCCCTGCTGTGCTTTTTGCAGGTTCCTGATGGTGGGAATTAAGCACAAGCTCCACTGCTCTGCAGGGTGAAGCCCAGGGGTGGCTGTGGTGTTCAGACCCCAGAGGTTTTGGTCATGGAAGAGGCCAGCCTGACCTTCCCACATGTGAGTTTATTGTGCTGTTGGAGTCTCTGGTGCTTTCTTCCCCTCCCTAGAACCATTCCAGGGTAAGTGGTTGTTTGACCTTCTGGCTTCACAAAATAGATTTGCCATCCCTGGAAAAGAAACCCTCAACAGCTGATGCTGCTTTCAGCCCAGCATTATCTGCCCTCCCCTCTTGCAGCCCTTTAGTGCTGAGTGTTCCCAGTGGAGACACAAGTTTAATGTTGAACAGGAATTTGGGGTAGGAGCAGCTCCTGCACCTGCCCAGTCAGATGCTGAAGGGAAACAGGAGCTTGGTTTCCACAAATGGTGATAAAACACTGGTGATAAAACTCTGTGTGATCAGATTTATGGCAGCCACATACAAGGAGAGTTGGATGTGGAGGATTTCTCACTGCTAATGGCAGTGGCTTTTATTTTAAGCCTGTTCACTTTTTTTTTTTTACATTAAAAATTTTATTACAAAAAAAGGTAACAGTAAGGCAGTTGTCAGTCACTGTGAGCCCAGACAGTTTTCAATCATGTTTAATACAAAACTAGATTCACACAGGAGCCACGATGGGGATCCAACAGCCCTCTGAGAAATGATGGGATAAGGCAGAAGCAGCAGCACCAGTGTAATCCCTTACACAGTCAGCATTGGATACATGGACACCACTGCAGTGGAGGGAGAGGAAAAAAGGATTGTCTGCAGTTTAAAAATCTAAGCCAACCCTGTTGTCATAATCTGGAACGTTCCTGATGTGTCCCAGCAGACTGGAGATTTAATTTTGAGAGATTTCTTTTTTTTCTCCTTTAACCAAGTAAATTTTTCTACTGTCAAAAGTAAAAAATTCTTTCTGGAAGAATTATCTGTGAGTGGTTCACTGCTTTAAAAAGTCGTGCACCAGAACATTTGTACTCCCCAAGCAATGCCTGAGACTGATGCTGTTTAACACTGCAAGCACTCACTGGTGTTGAGGTGAGGGAGGGAACTACTGAACAAAATTTCCCAACTCTGGCTTTTTTTCATGCTTTAGTGAATGTTGAACAGGAATGGGACACCAAGAGCAAATGCAGGTGTTTTCCACACCTGTTCCTGATGGCAGTACAGGGATTTTGTTTTGTGCTCCTTTACTAGGTAGGACTGGCTGTCCTACCAGCATTTCTGGATGCCCCAAAGGCAGGATTCCCAACTGTTCCCACTGTTCCTTGTCCCCTGTGCTTGCAGGGACATGGTGGGAGGTACCTGCAACCATGGTTACCTTTTTGGAGCTTAACAAACTAAGAGAAGGGAAAGGGAAAAGAGAGAACCATGGATAGGAAGAGCAACAGATGAAAAAGTGAGAAAACTCAGGTAAGCACAAATCTTGCAGGTCTGGGGTTTTTTTAATTATTACAAATTGGTGCTCACAGATCAGCTCTGCTAATTCAGTTCTGGCGTGAATTTATTTAGATCAGCTCCTGCTCTTGGTAAATGAGCAGGAAAATAGGAGGTGGGACTGTGCAGACTTTGTGTTCTCACTTCATGGATGGACCTTGTTTTCCAGCTGCCAAAAGCCAGGCAAAATTCAGGGAGGTGCAGGGCTAAGGAGGGGCAGTTCTGTGGGTCCCACTGCTACCAGGCTCAGTAGAAATTTAACAATTCTTTTCCAGCAAAGACCTTTTAAAGTGTCTTCTGAAAGTATGCAGTTCCTCCAACTATAGTACCTTAAACTGCATTCCCAGTAATCCAGAGGTATTT